TTTAATTTTAAGTCTATTGATGTGTCTGAAGAGGACCTGGTTTTTGTTTCAATTGCTGGATGGACATCACTGGGTCCAGGCTGGTTTGACTCATGTTTAGTCTTTTGACTTGTTCGCATCATTTGAGCTACAGTCTTTTTGTTGGTATAGTTTCTTCTGCAATTTGCATGATAATATATCTCTTTTGCAAATAGCGCATCTTTTGATTTCATGTGAGGCATAAGTCGAAATGACACTTCATCATCTCTGTTTTCAATAGCATAGAGTAAGGATGGATAACCCTTTTCAGTTAATCTTTGTAATGATCCGATATCTGATTCACTTTGGCAAATCAAATCAGTGTCAGGTTTACATCTTTTTTGCCTGATAGCGAAAGGAGCATCCATGATTCAACTGTTGTTCAGGTAATACACCTGTAAAAACAAAATTGTCTTGTTATTCAACAAATACAAGTCATAGAAGTAGACAAAAAATCATAGAAGTAGACAATCTGATACATTGTATCCTGGAGAATATATTGCCATTAAGTTTATGACAACAAATAAGACATTCCTGCTTACACCCCTCTGACCCAGAATGTCAAATGTTCATCCCTTCATATTTTACATTGTGCTATCTCAACACAATTTATATGACACCATGCCCCCCACCCCACCCGGCACCAAGAATATTTAACGATACCTATATTACATTTTTATAGTATACAACAGGGTAAAATGATCTTCATGATTTATGTTCCTCTCTGTTATGTGGAATCATATTGCTATGAACATAACATGTTTATATGTATAATTATTATTTTCCTTGGCTACATTGTACATGGACCAAATGCAACTGCATCCAAGATTACAACTGATCAGACTTGTGTTCACCATATTTATCTCCAGGTCAGGATATGCACACAGGATTAAGCATGTGATATTTTTCGTCCACAAAATACATCACCAAATGATCAATGCTAACATTCAACATTACATATTGTGATGAATAATGTTTAATCTCTGCATGATTGCATGCTAAACACCTTGTGGTAAGATACATGCAAGATGCAAACCGGATTTTAGAGACATTTTATTGCACTCACCTGTCATCTAAAACATGGAAGCAGTGTGAAAGGTCATAACAGCGCCACCACAGTTTGAGA